AAAGGGCCTCAGTCTACCTGTCATTCTGTGGCTCATAATGAGACTGGCCCGGTGCAGTCCGCTAATGGCCCGTGATTAGGAAAAGTCTAGATGGGGTGTTAACAAACGTTTAACGGCACGGCCAGAAGTCATAAAGATTTCACAGCTATAACAAGCTCCATAATAGCGCGTAAAAAAAAGAGCGTTGATGCATCCTGTGTTTGTGGTTATGTTTGTGCAGACCCTACAATACACTTTCTTTGAAGCCTTTTTATGTATCAGCCTACAGTGTGTCATGTAAATCTTGTATTCAAACTCTCTCCAAAGACGGTATATGCCACTGGGCCATTTTTATCTTCGTCCATAACATGTTTCTTATTTATTTATGAGGAATTGAGCTGCTTCCTAATATATTTGTGTGTGCTTTTACTCTACATTGATACCAAGTTTCCAAGAAAATGTCTTTATAGCCACAATATGTATGTTTTTGGACTTATATCACATCTTTATCTTCTCATATCATGATAATATCAATGAAAAGAGCCCATCTGTATCTAAACATTAAACCCATATATGCACTCAAAAGTTTGCTATCTATATATCTATCTCTGCATTTATCTGTATCTCTCTATCTCTGTATTTATCTGCATCTCTCTATCTCTGCATTTATCCATCTCTCCATCTGTATTTTCCTATGTTGCTACAGATTTCATATATACCCGCTATGACAGTTACGCTTGCTTTAGGAGTGAATCAAATGTTTTCCCCATTGCTTATGCTTTCGCTTCCTTATCGTAATACAGTACCTATATGAAGTATTTGGCCTCATTTACAATGCAGCGTCTATGCATGGCGCATAGTTGTCCTCTTGTCCTGCCGGGTAGACGTCAACACTATTTTACAAAACTTCTGTTGAAATAAAAGCCGGACTCAGAGCTGAAGAAGGAAGGAGTGAGATTTGGTCTTGACTGGATTAGCAGAGGTCTGTTTTCCCTCTTCGTGTCAGTGCTCTTTGCTCTGGGATGGATAGATAGTGACGGACTGCCAGTTGGTTTTCATTACGTCCTGTGCACTTCAGACCTATACATAAAAAATGGCATCTCTCCCTCTCTTCCTCTGTGCCCCCCGCTCCCTCTCTCTAAGCGCACTTTTCCCTCTGAAGTAAAAGGTACAAAATTGCTCCTGAACAGAATTGCCAGAGGGGACTTTTTCCAATGTATTTTTCTAATATCCTCTTCAGACTCACAGTCTCCCCATGTGCATGCCTTTTTACTTTTAAGTAAAACCCTGTCATGTACCCTGTGGGGGCTAGGCTGGAATTCACCTTCAATATACGATCGGTACCTATGCTCACAGGGGAGAGGAAGGCCAGTTTGGGGTGGAGGGGATATGGGAACCAGTAAAAAACCTTGCTTTGTTTGTTGCCCCGTCCAGCATACCAACTTCAAAATTGAACAGCAATAAAACAAGGTACAGATGTGCATTACCGGCTCAGACTTCAATTGTCCGCAAACCTGGGTGGAGGCACGGTCAGGAGTTATTAAGTGGTGAACTGTCTGACTCCATAGGGCTAGTTTATCTCGACAGTATGGTGCGCGGTTGGATGCCTGCATAATATAACTACAACCAGAACTGCCCGCTCTCAGCCCTGCTCTGATGCAGTCATGCAACGATACACCGATATATCTCAAAGGAGAAACAGGCAAGTCGATCCTCAGTGGATAAGACAACAGAATGTCTCTTGGTTGACCCCTTTGACTTGGCCTGACAAACCTGGCCTGTTCCTTTCTTCAATCAATAAGGCATTCTTTCCTGTGTGCATCTCCTGTTGTATATCAACAGGTATTACTCCCTGTCCATGTAGAAAACAGGCCTGCGACATCGTGTCTGGAGAAGACATCAAGGCGAACAATGGAATGTTTATTTGCACAGTCTAAATAGAGACTGTGGTATTGGTTATTCTTCTCAAACAAAGAAAATGCACATCTATCTATCTTTTTTCTTCCATGGTTAGTGAGGATTCCAATGCAAACTGCTATTGATTAATACTGTTTAAACCTTATGTTAAATTACCATAGCAACACACAGCAGTGAGCAAAAACATATATATATTTTTTTTAAATATTGTGGGGAAATGTCCCTAAACTTTAAATAGTCAAGTTATCATGTGTTTTCAAATAGTTATGGAATGCCCCAGATGCCTATAGTCTGCAAAAATTAATACAAAATATTTTGGAGCGGACCGATAAAAATAAGCCAATGGGATTCGTTCATCCCCAACGAACATGTGATGCGTTTAAGATAAGATAAGATAAGATATTCTTTATTTATCTCACAAGGAGGAGAAATTTACATGTCACATTTGGCATGGATAGAAACACTCAGATTGTGCAAAAAAGTGAGGAAATGTGCAAACATGTTAAATGCAGGACATATTATGTACAATAAAAAAGTGGCAGTTTAAAAGTGCCCCCCCCCCCATCACCCTCTTCCTGTTTCTTGCGTGTGCGCGCATCTGAGTTATCGAATTATTATCTAAAACCTTAAATGGCTGAACAGAAAAAGCCAATTTTGCGTTTGCTACCCACTCTCACTTTTGTGACAACAAAAAAGAAAATGCTGGAAGTTTGGTTTGGTGAAGAGGCGAGGGGATGGGGAGTGGTTTCAAGTTGGTGCTACAGCTAAGCTAACAAAATCGCTTACTGCACCTTTAACTTCCAATTCGGTTTATAAAGTTACTTTAAAAGGTCTTTTATACAGTAGGATGTTGAAATAAGTTACTAATTATATAACATTTTCATTTTAAATGTATGATCTAAATGTAGGAAAAGTTCTCATCCGTGACTATATTTTGGCACAGTGGCAATAGTTGCTAAGGAGCTTTTACTGGCTTTGGCTTATGAACTAGTGCCTTTTCTCGAACATGTTTTTTGAGTATATAGGTATATAAAATAGATATTAACTAATAACTAGTGAGATTGTGAATGTTTTTACCATTCTCCTTGATATCAGCGAATGAAACCACTCTGTATGGTTTAAACATGGCTCCTTGTTGTTTAATTCTAAATACTGGAAACCTTTTACAGACAGTCTAAGGAGCTTTTCAAAAACATGGGAGAACTTGAACATTGTGAAACAAACCTGAGCCGGATACTACCGTCTTTGAAGCAACAAACAGAGCGTTAAATCTAAATCTCCTTAAGTCAAATTCATATTTTCAAAACATGTATTAAATCCCTGGATATAAATGATTACACTGCCAAACTGCTACTACTACTACTTTTTTCTAATTCAAGTTTTCTGCTGTTTATTCCAAAGTAACTTCAAATTTCAAATAATCTCTTTGCATAAAACTGAAATCTTGTGTTTGGGAATAAATAGGCTTCCAGTTCAGTTCCCTTTTTCCCTGCTTTACTTTCTATTCTATTCAAGCTATATACCCATTTAAGACATAGCTTCATCATGGTTCTCGTCATCCAGATTTTGCTTCGCATTGTACTTTATCTTCATGTGTTTTGTGTATAGCTTGGATAGTTTAAAGTGGCTATTTAGTGCAGAGTATGGGAACAGTGGTACGCTCCCAGACCCTACAGATTTCACTAGATATCTTATCAGGGCCACTTACTCTGCCAGATGGTGGAGTGGGACCCAGAGTCATCAGCAGCATCAGTCTGCGGTGATGCAAAGCAGAACTGTTGCAATCCTTGGACAAGACGCACGAGTTGTGGCCGTTTCAGAAGAAGAAGATTAGAAGGCTGTTATTTATAATGTTGCTTATCTGCTGCTGTGGAAAAGTCACAGATAGTTGCAAAGAACTACAAGACAACAGCATGAATGGCAGTGATAATCTGTAATTTAAACTCATTTGTCCTTTAATGACATACATCAAAGGGTGCAATGTCTATTCTGATAAGGATGCATTTCACTGAAGTTGAGAAATGGAGTATTTGAAAGTCAACTGTTTGTGAGATCTAAACGGGAATGATAATAAAGAGACCAAAAGAGAAGTGTGACTTCATTTTGTCTGTGGTGTGACACACTAAAGCACTGATTACTGATGCAATCAACAAGCTGGGGTTGATTGGCATAGACACAAAAACACAAAAACTACTAAGGTTTGTTACTTCTTTCATGTAAAAATATGTGCGTTGATATTTGTTTTGTTTGTGGATGTTAATATGGAAGTATTCTGAAATGTTTTGTTTTTTTATGTATAATGTGTTGTTCAGAAAAGGTCATTTATGATTTGTAAATGTTGAACTATTATATGAGCAAAAACATGACATGACGGTAACTGCAGTAGTTATTTTGATGTAGGGAAAAAGTCAGATAACTGATCTGGTTGGACAGTTCATTTGATGATTATTTAGAGGCTGATGTTGAACCAGAGAGAATATTGTTTGAAATCCCATTCATGCAGTAAGATTCAAGTTACCTGCAGTATTAATACCTGTTTTGTACCTCATTTGGATCCATAGTGCATCACTGCATCAATACATTTGCATGTTAAAAATGGAAAATAAAAAATCATGTTGATCTTTGTTATAGAATTACAGATATGCAATATGATACACGAACATATCTCGCACTGCTATAGTCACTGGAATTTTATATAATTTGTTCATAAGATATGTTTTCACTTTTTAACATGTTTGCACCTTTCCTGTCGTTGCACAACCAGAGTGATCCTATTTATGCCAAATGTAACAAGTGTATTTCTCCATTGTGAGATCAATAAAGTCTATCTTATCTTATCTTATCTTATCTTACCTGATCTTCACTGATCTGGAGTGTGGCTGTGACCCTGGGACAAGATGTTTAGAAAACCTAGATTAGTTTGTTTCATGGTCATTCATGATACATAATGCATTCCTCTGGCAAACCTCATTCAGAGGGAGAGGCGTCTAACTTTGATGTGAGCTGGTGTGTTACAGTGATACAGGCTGTGATCTGTGAGAGAGAAGCTGGACGAGACCTCACCCCCCACTGCACCTCCAACATCTGCTCACAGACACCACCAATCACAACACAGCACTACAGGAGCCGTGACCAATCGCCTGTTCACTGATCTTTTCAGAAGATCCCGGTGCAGGGCGAGGAACAAAAAGCCAACCCCCGCTAATATGAAGCCCCTGGCTCCATCCACCCGCTCCGTTCTCCCCGCGGTCCCATGGCTTTGATATGTTAGACCCCTGCATAGAGGGGTAGCCTCCGTGGCTCTCGCTCACACACACCCACCTCCTGATAATAAGCACATGGGTTTGACACCAAAACGATTATGATTTTAGAGTATACTCACTCCCTGATATCTGTAAACTCTTATTTTAGCTTCACCACATGCAGGGTTTTCACAGGCAGCATCACGTCAAGCTGTCTAGGAGTGTTGTTTAGGCTGAAACTATTCAATGTACTGTACATGTATGTATAGAGTTGTATATTTATAGTTTTGTCTTTGTGATGATTTCAACAATTACAGTAATGTACAGTAGTAAACATAAACGTATAGTTCAAGTTTAGAAAATAAGCAGATCAGCAGTTGTTATGCGGTTCCTCTACATGTTTAGGTCTAGTCTAGAAAGATCCCAGCTCAGATATGGCTGAGTATTTTGACAACATTTCCTTCCATTGAATACTGTGTTCTCCTTACTAGCAATAAATGCAATACTTTTTAGAGTTAAAGTTGTCTTAAAGGATGAAGTCACAAGCTTCTCTGTTGTGAGTTAATGTTTTTGGAATAGTTGGGAAAGAAAATAAAGTCACTAGTTTATGACTCAGTGTTGATGGTGCTGTTTTTGGACAGCAGAAGACAGTGTCCAGACAGTCGATCTCTTTGGCCTGATGGTCCCAGCGGGTAATGACACGGCTCTCTATGAACATCTGAAGGTCTGGCACTGAGGCAAAGAGAGGATTGGGTGTAGTGAGTGAAGAGCACAGTCATTATGGGATAGAAAAGACACTGGAGACTGGGGGCACTTGAGAGTACGTGGCATCGTGCCCGTGTGGATACAAAGCACACCCGCATCAGTATGACATCTTCCCATCCACACGATAGGCCGTGACCAGCTCCAGTTACACCTGTGTGCCGAAATATGCCACCATGCACCTCAATGCAGGCTCATCTGATCTGCAACCAACTAAAGGTGGCTTTCCAAATCAAAGGAACATCTGAGAACAACAACAGATACATCAGAAGACAAAAATCCCCTTTCCACTTCAAACAGTGTTTGTCATAATCAGATTTTGAATGTGAAATGTAAAAATCTATTCAAAATAAATGTTAGAATATGCTGCATATGTCATATCAGATATCACTAAATCTTGTATATCTGGAATCAGGTTACAGAAATCGCCTAATAAGGTGCACTTATGGGAGCTTCTTGGAAGTTACATGACATCACAAATGTGATGACATGTTTTACGCAAAGGCACAGAGACCGTGTGATACGCCAGTGTCGAACCTACAGGTTTTACTTTGCACAGAACCATGAGTTAAGGTAATATTGTGAGTTGCTTGAAACCGTTGCGGGCCAATTACACATCAATGTAAAAGAACCAACAGTACATATTGTTAGCAGATACAATTAAATACAGAATTCAAAGAGGGTTATAAATATCCAGCTGTAGTATTACACACACGAAGCCCCCCATACAATAATCCAATTCTTAACAGTGTACAGTATATGTTCAAAAGAGTTACATCAGTTTTATAGTGACTTTTCATCCTAAAGAATAACCCTAATTTATCAAAACATCCTCATTAAGTATTTTTGAGCTATGTTACAATACAAACACAATCTCTACTTTGTTCTGGTATCGGGCTACAGTAACACTAGATCCTGTCTGATGCTTTCATCTCACTTTGATGCGGTTGTCATCAAATAAAAACACGAGACTGCGGTGCTAAGTGTGGCTCTGATTTCACGGCAGATGCGGCCTTGGTTTCAGAGATCACCAGGTGAAGTCTGGGCCTCCTGCCGCAACAGGTGTCTAATGACCGTAAAACCTCATCTCATCCAATTCTTATATTATAATACAATTACAAGAATGAAAACATAAAAGAAATAAATAAAACAAAATTATATTCGAAATCTAATATATACGGTTTACAAATACAGTAGGTGTTAAGGTGGGAGGGGTTGGGGGGGAGGGGGAGAGTAAAAAAAATAAAATAGAGTTATTCGGGTTGCGTTTTTTATTGTTTCAGTTCTGCCTTGGTTTGCGGAGTTTCTGTATATGTATGTGAATGTGTATGCAATGCAGGGGTGCATAGATGCTATGTCGAATGTGGTCAAATGAGTCTATATATTTTACTAAAAAAAAAAAAAAAATCTGCACAGATTCTACTTTGAGAATCTGTGCATTGGTCTCTTCTCTGCTTTCATCCTTAACTCTGTCACTTCTTATTTATCTAATTGGAGCTACTGGTAAAGAGGTACTGACCTGGCAACCTCCAGCCCTCTCCTCCGCATCCCCCCTCTGCTGATAGACCTCATGTCTCCGGCCCCATACATGCGAACAGCCTTCATGCACCTCTGCACATTGAACTCTGGCTCACCCCCGCTGGTGATGAGCTCAAGATCATGACTACTGACAGATCATACAGAACGGACCATCTCACTGCTGCTGAGCGATCCAGGGGCCCAAACCACACATCTGTATTCACGCCATCACAATAAAATCATAAATGTCAAGTTACATTGATGGAAATTTGACCAGTGCTGAGGTCACGCCGTCTGTGAGGGTCTGTTTTACTGTTAATCATTTGATACAGATGTTGTGAGAATGTAAATAAACCATATTGAATGTTTAAGGATTTAGTTTTACAGTGAGCCGAGACACTGCTGGCATTTGTGTTGTTTTCTTACTTTTTTAGCATGTTTACATTTACAGTTTAGCAAGATTATTATTTAGTCTGAGCTCATGTGAGTGGCTCAGGTTTGGACGAGTCAAAATTATAACCTGTAAAGTATTTTCATGATATGCCACCATTGCCGCGTGGAAATAGATTTTTTTTCTTTTTAAATGTTCAAATCCAATTTAATCCCAAAACTTTTCCAGGGCCTGTAATGTGCATTTCTATTTACCATGAGCTTTCCAAGTTTTCTATGACTGTATATTTGCCTATCTAGAATAGAATAAGTAAATGGCAGAATATGTTGATTATTTGTAATTGGATTTTGAAAGGGCAGCATTTAATGTTAAGACTTTGAATTGGGCTCCATCAAATCTAACACCTCCAAAAGACACTGAGGAGACCAGGTGGTGCATGAGGAACTTATTTTTCACTTTTGACAAAATACCTTTACCAAGCACTAGTGAAAACTGGTATTCTCCATTGTTTTGTAATTTGTAATTTACAATTGTATTAACAATTGTAAACCGCTTTGAGACTCAGATCTGCAGTGAAAAGGCGGTATATAAATAAATACTTACTTACTTACTTACTTTTCAGTTGAAGGAGTGTGTAAACCTGTGTGTTAAATTCCAGGAGCAACTGGATTGAACTGTTTCAACTGCCTATTCGCTGGTTGTACCCACATAAACCGGATCCTACTGAGATCTACTACCCACTTATTTCTAATATTAACATAACCCATGCTTTTATTAGAAATGCAAGTTTTTGGGACTCGAAAGGTACGTACAGTATGAGGAACTCATTGTGTTCATTGTGATGATGTCTAGCTGCATAAGTTTTGGCTTTGTTGTTTGTTTTGAGAGAAGAGCACATGTGTTTAACTGTTGTTTGTGTGAAAATCAATTGTCTAAAGCAAACAATATGTGGCAGGATTACATTTGTCAAGAATGTGATTTTGATAGCAATTTTATTCACATTAAATGTTCCAAAAATTGAGTGCTCAGGCAAAGTTACAAGACGCCTATGAAAGCCTCACAAGTCTCCAGCTTCTCCGCAGGGTGCATGCAGTGGTCAGACCGGACTGAAAATATAAAAGTAGAATTATCTGTATTCTTATGCTTTGTAAATACACTCATTATTATTTATTACAATCACAATAAGACTGTGTTTTGAGGTATAAACTTGACAAACTTGACAGCTAGACAGGAAATGAGGAAGAGCAACAGGAAGTACGTCCCTTTCTCCATCGTGTCAACACTGGAGGGAGCTTCAAATGGCTCTAGCAGAGACATGAGCGCAGCAGCAGGCGGCGGAGGGAGGGAGTGGGAGGAGTCGGGTCAGCGGCCTGAGAAACCAAAACAGGCCTCCTGAAAGAAAGAGTTTCAGTCAGGAAGGCACAGTGGCTGTTGGGTAATTTATAGCACAGAAAGGCTTGTAGGGTGAAAAACATTATTTTAGCGGCCCCCACATCCTAATAGAAGCCAGATGTGGAGGGATTAACAAAGACCGTTCCCCTTTCTCCCCCACCCGCTCCAGCTCAAGTCCCCGCTGTCTCATTTTCCTCCTCTCTCTCTCCTTTCATACTCAATCTACGGCTTTGCTCGGCCACTGTTGCATATTTTTCCTTCAGAGTGCGATGTGCTTTGGGAATACGAGGCCAGTCAACACTTTGGTCTTTGAGGTGAAACGTTTTGAGAGCGTCGCAGAGCTTTTGCAAACAGATTCGGGGTGTCTGCTGGATGTAGTAACAGAAGCGTGTGGTTGGTAATGTCACCTTATAGCCCAGAGGTCAGACTAAAGTAAAGAGAGCTTATGCAGCGCACGTGAGCAAGCACAAAACAGGCTGGCACCGACTTACTTACTATCAAAGGCAATTAATGTGGCCCTGTGTGCAATGAATTACGATTCGGAAAATTGCACTTATTGTAGAAGCTCATGGGTTGCCACTTCCTGTCCCATTCATGCAGCGTTTTCAGGGCTTTTCTCCCATTTCAAAAGATATAGTATTTTGTTTTGAGTTGATAAGCACTATGTTCTTATGTCTTATATGTTTCATCAACCTGAAATAGATTAAACATAGAACTGAGCAATGTCGTGTCTGGAACTCAGGGGGGAAAAAAAATGTTCCTGAGTTGATGCATGTAAACGCTCAAATGCTCGGAAAAAGTAGCTTCCTGGGGAAAAAAGCAGCTTCCCAACTTCTGCATTGGAGCATCACCTGACTAACATAAGGGAACATTTATATGGCTCACAGAAACATCTCATGGTCTGATTTATCAATTTATCCTGAATATACCTAAAAAATTATATGTTTAATCCATCCTAAAAAGGGTAATAAAAATTGGTTTTCCAAAATAATTGATTTATTTTGAGCCAAACAAAACAAATGATAACATTCTGCACAATACATAAATCAACGTAATGAAGGACAAAACAAAATAAAGAGGTACAGGGAGGATCTGCACAACATGTATAATTTACCCAACGTATAGTATTTGAGAAGGTAAGTATATGATGTGGCCAATTTATCCTGTTAAACCTTGTAAAACGGTGACAGAGAAATCTTGATTGTTTAAAATCGGGAGATTCTGAGGAAGATAGTTTTCTAGCGTGTTTTGCTGACAATTTGAGGAGAAAAATAAGAACTTTAATTTCAGCCAAAACTGATACCGGGTGTGTAGATTGTACATACTTACTGCGAGTGGAGACATCGCTATGACAGAATTTAAAGTATAAAATATCGTAAAATATAGTATATTCTGTCATTGTACACAACAGTGAAATACACTTTGGTATCACCATGTTCAGACATCACATTTGCCAAAGCAGTGACTACTTGACAAAGTAGTCCCAACATTTCAACAGAGTGTTGAAATGTTGGGACTAAAGGCTTTCATAGATCATGGATTGAAGCTATTTTAAAATCTAGTGGTGCGTGTTTTGACCAGTCTACTTTGTTTGCCGGACGGAAGAGCAGTAAAAAGTCTGTGTTTGGGGTGAATGATATGATATATTATGATCCCTGTAAATATGTGCGGCCTTATTCTCCAAGTGGCTTCTGTGAATGTCCCCGAGGGCAGGTAGTGGTGCCCTGATGGTCCACTCTGCTGTCCCCACCACACGCCTCAGGTCCTTCTCGTTGTCCAATCACCGTGTGTGGAGGGATTGGAACAAACTCGGAACATTGTAACGTGCTTTCGGTGACCTTGGTCTGTAAAAATCCGCTTCATGAATAAAGATATTACTTACTTACTTACATACTTACTTCAGAGCAGATGAGTTATTTGTCATATTGTGTCTATGTGGTTGCAATCCACACAGCACTTGCCAGACTCTGAAGAGATGAGCTTCTATGTCCAGAGCCAATAGCATCTCTCCGTAAGTCACATTGCACAAACAGACAGATGTTTGAAGTCTGTATGAAAGAGCGTTAATCACTCAAAAGTTCGAACCAAAAGGAGCTCACAATGAAAATACCGGAATTCCTTCCAGAAGATTAGTATCAGTTCCAACGTCAACACATTATGTAAATTGCAGAAAATTACGCACGTTCTTCCTTCAGCGCTTACATCATCACCTGGGAATAATAGTTATGTGTAAAGCTTCAGAAAGCATTCGTCTCTGCAAGGCATTTGTTAACAAGGGAACTTCCAGGGTGAAATTTAAATGTGTTTCAAGAGAAAAACAATGCAACATGTTGGAGCTGGGACGGGCTTTGCTTTGCTTTTCTTTGTCAAATTGGTTTTCTTTTTTTGCTCAAGTGCATGTATGAAGTACAGTGTTTAGTAAATGTTCATTGTTAAACTTTTTGGATGGGGTCTGATGCCTGCTCGTTTGCTTTGTACTTGTTGTTTCTTTAATTTGAATGTTCCTCAGAATGATAAAAAGTGTGTACATTATTTACAGAAGTAATTATAATTAATAAGTAATTAATTGTCTCCATTGGGAAATGTGTCCTTTGTGCATTGAACATATTTGGCAATGCCACTTGGGCTTCTGTCAGGAGCAGTGGTCACCGTAGTGCAGCGCCTGGGGACCCATCTCCAGATGTTGATACTTGGCTTGGTCTGACTCCCGGAGCTGGGTTTTTTTTACCTACAGTAGCCTGTGTGGTTTTAGTGCCAGTGGAAATCAGAGCACCCAGAAGAAACCACACAGACACAGGGAGCACACGCAAACTCCCCATGTTGATTAAAACATAACATTATTGTTGCATATCTTCCAATTACTGAAACATTTTCTCAGCCGCATGCATGTGTTTGTGATGTGTGTGTCACTGACTAATACAACATATGTAATTTATCAAAAAAATTGAAATACGGAAAAAATGTGTATTAAAAAACATTTTAAAAAAACAATTAAACTGTGAAACATTTCAGACAAAACAAAAGGCTGATGCTCCACTGGAAATATCCCCTTGAACAATGAACACAGTGGATCATTTTTTTCTGGATTCAATCAAACACTTCAGAGTGGGACCTTCGTCTGTCCATCACTCTTCTTTTTACTTTCATTTAACTAGACCTCCAACTTTGAAGCAAACCGTCTCTGTTTCAAATTCCACATCACAAGAAAGTCATTAAAACAAAGCAAGGAATTCCATCAAAATTTGCAACCATCATCCAAAGTCAATCTCGATCATTTTATAGACAACCGCATTGTCCAGATGGC